CATTATAATATATAAATAATTACATTATAACCTTATATTACATTATAAATTACAACAGTAAAACCATCTAAAATATATAAATAATTACATTATAACCTTATATGACATTTTTAAATTACAACAGTAAAACCATCTAAAATAAATAAATAATCATATTATAACCTTATATTACATTATAATATATAAATAATTAAATTATAACCTTATATGACATTATAAATTACAACAGTAACACCATCTAAAATAAAAATCATTACATTATAACCTTATATTACATTATAATTACAACAGTAACACCATCTAAAATATATAAATAGTTACATTATAACCTTATATTACATTATAATATATAAATAATTACATTATAACCTTATATTACATTATAAATTACAACAGTAAAACCATCTAAAATATATAAATAATTACATTATAACCTTATATGACATTTTTAAATTACAACAGTAAAACCATCTAAAATATATAAATAATTACATTATAACCTTATATGGCATTATAAATTACAACAGTAACACCATCTAAAATAAAAATCATTACATTATAACCTTATATTACATTATAAATTACAACAATAACACCATCTAAAATATATAAATTATTACATTATAACTTTATATTACATTTTTAAATTACAACAGTAACACCATCTAAAATATATAAATAATTATATTATAACCTTATATTACATCATAATTACAACAGTAACACCATCTAAATTTATAAATAATTACATTATAACCTTATATTACATTATAAATTACAACAGTAACACCATCTAAAATATATAAATAATTACATTATAACCTTATATTACATTATAATTACAACATTAACAACAGCAACACCATCTAAAATATATAAATAATTACAATATAACCTTATATTACATTTTTGAATTACAACATTATATTACATCTATAATATATAAATAATTACATTATAATCTTATATGACATTATAAATTACAACAGTAACACCATCTAAAATATATAAATAATTACATTATAACCTTATATTACATTATATATACATTATATTAAATTACAACAGTAAATTTCTGAAAAATTGTTAAACTCAATAGGCCTATCTTGGAGAAAATATCTCTTACCATTTAATAAAGATTCTCCAAATACCAAAAAATATAATACATGATTGACACCAATTTCTTCAAATACAGCTAAAACCTACAAAAGACAATTATAGTTAACATATATATTATCACCATAATAACATAGAATAGAAGTTGTACCTTCCATCTGTTTCTTAATTCTATAACCTATAGGAGGGCAATATTGAAAGAAATGTATGACTTAAGGTAGAACATTTCAAGATGGTGATGGTTGCTGTTCTGTTGTAATGTTGTAATAGGTTCTTGTGTACAAATGAGTGGCTGTCATGTTGTTATACCAGGTCACGAATGGTTTTTAAAATCATTTGATGAACAAGAAGATACCCTAAGGTGGCAAAAATATCTTGAAAAGAGTAAAGATTCTAATCAATATCAGTCAAAATTTTTATCTAAAAATCTACTAAGATTTATGGAGAAGATGTAAATAGTGACAACTTACAGCAACAGGATCTACTGCTACAATCAATGATGTAAAAACTAACATTTGTACAAAACTGATAGGAACAATAGTTCCCATAGCACCAGCTTGAGCTAAACCATATAGACTTCCACCTGGAATATACCAGTATATCTTTATAAAACACATTAACCTTTTTTTTTAAATATATAATTTCAACACAGAATCTCATAAAGGTGCTGATTATTTAAGCAAATTTGGACATTGCAACAAACAATGTGAAGAGTTATTTTTTCAGTTAAGTATTTATTTACATCTAAATCACAGATTAAGGCCATTATCAAAATGATCTGGGTTATATTAATATCACTGCTAACACAGGCACTTTGAGCCATCATTTCTTTCCTCTTCTTTCTTAAAAAGGTTATGCATGCCAAATGCAAAATATGTTCCAATGACCATGAAACTGCATAATAGAATAAATAGATTTAGGAATAAATAGATTTAGGAATAAAAAATCTCACCCAACATAAAACATGCTAAAATTGTGCCCTAAAACAAACAAAGTATATATAATCAAAACATATCCATCATTATACACAGAATTTTATACCATATCATAATGTAAAAAATATACAAAATGAACTACATAAAACATTATATATGTGAAATATTTTTCTGTTACAAGTTGATTGGACTAGATTAATATCAGACAATTGAGAAATAGGATTCTGTTGACTTGTTGGGGAACTGGAAGTTTGCTTTTGATTTTGAAAAGTGACATAGCTGGTTGAAATTTAGTCCGAGCAGCTAGTAAATTAAATAGATTTATATAGAGTCAACTATACTATAAAATAAAAAAGTATGCCTTGAAAGTACGACAAAACAGGATAAAATAATGGATGTGCTATCAAATCAAACCTCAAGACAATACTCATTAATATCATTAAAAACTGTCTCTAAAATAATAATCAGAACACAATAATACTTACCACTACAGCAAAAAGTAAAATACTGCCAAGATTTTCTATAAATGTTCTATCATGTAAACTAAACGAAGATTCCAAAATAATCCTAAAATAGATCCATACCAAATTAATCCCCATTATCATAAACATCAGATGCATACGGTGGTGTTCTACAGGGCATAAGCCTTGCGCCAGCTCCTAAACTTTCAGTATTCATTTTACATGGAGATGGAATTGACTGTGCGTCAACGTGACAATTCTGTGACCCTTACTCAACTCTCTCACCCAATGATTCATAGAAACATCAATAGCCTTACATAAACATAGATGATAACTTAATATACTTACGGTGGCAGTAAAAACATAAAAAATTGGTTTGGTTCAAAAAATGTTGGAATTTCATCTCCAGCATTTGAGAATCTACAAAAAAGACATTGAACATTACATCTTTCTGCCTTTTGATTTCTCCATCCTGTTCATTGAAAACTGCTTACTGTGTTTAGTAAGACTCTTGGACCTACACAGATATTTTTATACATATTCATGTCAAGTTTCTTTTTATCCAACTTATATTTTTATCTAAACATATCTGAAAGATATCATCATTCCGTATATTGGACACAATTTTTTCTCTGAATAGTTCAGGCTCTGTATTCTCGAAACAATCTTAGCGCTAGGATGTCCTAGGATCTTAACTTCAAACACTGTCTCAAGGCTATCCTTATGCTAAGATTGTTTCTTATCTTTTGACCTTAAATCAATCACATATATTAGGAACAATGAATTAAGTGCAATACTTACTCAATTATTGCTCCTAATATTGTTCCAACAACAATCAACATACTAAAATAAACAAAAAATGAACAATCTGATCAAAACATATCTCTACTGCCATATTTTTTATGGTAAACAATTTAATTATTTATGTTAATTGAAATTTCAGCTATAAACTAATAATTTCTTAGATTGATAATTATGCTGATATAGGCCCACATGATCATTATATAATTAGTTGTTGCAGAGGACAATTTTCAATTAAATTGAGGGGTTGTTTCATGGTTTGAGTTTGCTCAGAGTGAATTTTGTGTTGGTTTTTCTTTTTCTGTGGCTTGCTCAATTTGCAATTCCAATCAGCCTTTTAAACTGTCATTAGAAAAAGCTGCTATTAATTAAAGTCATTTTTTTTTGCGTTATCATTTCTACAACTGTAGGAATCGAATGATGCAAATAAATAACCCGGTTACAAATAAAAAGTTTAGAAAGTCTCTTAACAATCCTTAAGTCAGATGTTTTTTTAATCAGGTTTGAGATTTACATCAATGTAAGATGTGATGAGATATAGCTTACAATAAAAGAGTAACGTGATTACGTGCAGTAATACTCAGAGGGTATAGACTGTTTATAATTTTATTTACAACCTCATTCGAGAAGACATAAACAAACTGTGTGTGATATAACTGTGTCTGGTAACTTTCATTATTACACTATATTTTTACCAGCTTTCTTAAAGAGATTGTGAAGATGTTTTCTAAACTTTTTTTGTATTGGGGCACTGATGGTATCATTTGCACCATTCCAATCTTCAGTCTGATGTCTTACATTTCCACTTTTGCAATTCATAAAATGCATAGTTTAAGTCAATTTGAAAGAACGTCACTTTAACATAAGAGCGAGTCTGGCTATCTGCTTTTTGTACAACATTAATCAGTGTAGCACATAATTACCAGTTTTGTAATAATTAGAGCATATATAATTTGTAGTGATATTATCATGAAATACTGAATATATCTGTTATTATATACTATATATATATTATCTGTAATAATGGGATAACAGTTGGTCATTATCTCTATTATTAAAGGGTTATTGCCCTCCACCTCACCAGTCTCAAATAACCATTTAAAGGTGCCCTCACACCATTGCGAATAATGAAATTGGTCAAGAGTTCAAAGTTGTGTTTGAAACTTATGACTGCTGTTCTTATTTGCAACCCTACGCAACTGGTGATGGCTATGGTGAGTGGTCCACTTTAAACAAAATATCATGACAATGACTTCTGTGTACAGACAATATCATTGCTCCTTTTTTCTGCAAGTCTTCAGTTTTGCAAAATTTACAGGTAAAGAAAGGATATCATTTTCAGAATAAATCCATTTAATAAATATATATAATTCATTACTAATTAACCACCTACCAGGATTCAGGCACTTTAGATGATAAATAGTCAGCAAAATTGAAGGCTGAAATAGATTAAAAATAATTGTTACACTATTGTAATTAACCATAGTCCACATTTACATTATTACATCAAGATATGGCGGACATTCAAAGATGTGTTCCAAATGGCCAGGAATTAGTTTTATTACATTTTTCATCAAAGTAAAATCTGCATCAGTAATCTAGATTAGCATAATTTTCATCCAAGATCAATTACATTTGCATATTTAAAATATATGCAGGAATAATTTGTTTTTGGTAGTTTTAAGACTCAAAATATTACTTTTGAGTAATTTGATTAACCAACTAAATTGACACAAACTTTTAGATGTGGGTTTTAATATTATGAAGTATTACTGAATAGTTCTAAATATGTTTCAAATCAGAATTGCTTAAAAAAAATCCTTTTGGGACTGCACCTTTATGTCATTCAAGACACAGTCTGTGATTGAAACTTGAGCTCATAATGATGAAAAAAAAAAATTAATTCTTGACTGACTTGAGTTAATAATTTAGTAATTTGGCATACTATTATAATAAGTGAGCGTTATTTTTAAAAGAGTATATTAGTTAGTTGTAACTAAATTAAAGAAAAGTTCATTTGACGTACCTAATTTAGCTGCCCCAGCAAGAATCAGTACACATGTAAATACTAATGTAGTTTTAATATGATGAAGACGGAACACAATGACATGAATACCATGATCGGTGGTCTGATTGGTATTATTACCCTTAATACCACTAGGAGAATGGTGACTCTCTGAGGAACACTGTACCAATATAACTATACTTAACAGCAGAAGACATTTAAATATTAATTTGTTCCCCATTCTGACACATATGTATCACCTGAAAGAAATACAGAAAGTTGGTTTTGAATTTTAACGAGGGATTCAAACATATATAACCGGTTATGTTAAACAGTTACACCTCTTCAATCGGAATGATAAGTCTTCTCTTCTTCTTCAATAGCCATAGACAAAATTAACAGACAAAAATATACACAGATTAAAATACATATAGGTTAAAGAAGATTTACTGTTTAAATTAAGATTAATTAAAGAAGGTAAGGATATAATCCTATATTAGCACCTATTGAATAGTGATACACATTCATACACAGTAGTCAGCTAAAACTTTTATAGAGGCACATTTTGATAGGGATACTTGTTTTAACCAGCTGGTATTCAAATTTAGCTATCCTTTATTCTATTCTCTTACAAAAGTGTCTAGTTAAATGAGACTAGTTGATATTGTCATGGGCAGTTATGACAAACAGCATTATAATATCAGTAATATCTGCTTATGTCATTAACAGTTTGTAATTAACATAAACTAAACTGCTGCAATTCATCCTTATTCAGCTCCAATATTTTGACAATCAAAGCCTTTCTCTCATTTCAATGTAATTATTAGATCTCTAGCATAACTTAAGACTGCATATAAAACTATTGTGACAGTAAACCACCAATGAGTACTAACTATATCACACTGGTTTTATGTCTTTAGTACATAAAATCTCTGAAGTGTGAATATTTTTTACTATTCAAACCCATATTAATACAAACAGTACAATGGCAAAAATATCTGGAAATTATAATCAAAATGATTTTGAGGATAATCAGTTTCTAATCTTTAGAGTTAAATTTAAACAAAAACAGTTCAAAGGAAAGTACAAAGACTATAACTCCACAGGTTATCTATGTGTACTACAAGTTAAATATTACTAATATGTTAAGAAATAAAAGGAAACATGTGGTAACTTCAACTTCTCCACTTATACCATCATAACAAAATCACATTAACACAAAACTTTGGAATACTTGCTGTGCTGTTTTCTGCTTTAGAATTTTTAATCTGAAATTTGTTTTCTGACTGAATTTTTGTTTGGTTTATAAAACAGAGCGAAACCTGATGCCATATAAATAATTAAAGTTAATTCTGTCAAATGACAACAAAAATCAAAATAAATCAAGTACTAACCAGCGAAAAGATTAAAGTTTTCAACCAGTAAACTATGTATCACCAATGATCATTTCAGTTCAGATTGACATACATGCATACAATCACTACTAACTTTTGTTTATGGCCAAAGCAATATGAAGATATTTAGTTTATACTAACCAGTGGAAAAGTATTCTAACTGTAAACTAAGGAATTTCGCCAATGATCATTTCGAGTTCAGACTAACATGCATACTATCACTACCAACTTCTACTAATAGCCAAAACAATATAATGATATATATTTTGTAATTGGTAGAGATGTTATTATTGAAGTCTATACAATAGCTAGATAATATTGGTATAGACAACTGACCCATACCACACATAATCATATCATTAATGAAGAAATAACTCTTATCACTCAACCAGTGATTTATTATTAACATGACTAACCTCAGATACATTAACATATTAGCAGAAGATACTAACATTTACTTAATATACATGTTGCTTATCAACACTTATATTAGTCTGAACCAAGGACTTCAAACCCTTTTACATTACAAAATTTATTTATTCTCAGAATGGCTTTCAAAGTAGGATGTAAAACACCATTTATTTATTTTCATTTTCAGAATGGCTCTCAGATTAGAAAGGATGAATTATTTTGTAATGTAAATGGTCAAGCATTCTGAGAACTGTTACAATTCCAATGGTTCTCAGAGCAGACTTGATAAAGTGGTGTAATGTAAACAGTAACTATTCTGAGAACGCGTTAATGCACATACCTAACAATTTTTCCGTCGGAATTTTGTCATTATTCAGTGAAATTGTTGATTACATCCAGATTTCATCCTTTACATCACATTGACTTCTTGTCCAGACCGAGAATGAAACACTTTATAGCACCTTTAAGGTGCAAAAAGGGCTCTTCAATATGTTTGAATTCACTGCCTCTTATAACCATAACCATATGAGTCAGCTGTCAGCTAGATTAGAGTCACTATCTTCACAACCAGATAAATTCTATTTTAATGAATTAGAACTATAATTTAAACCATCAATATTTTACATTTAATATAACTCCTATGACAGCTTTCTTTAAAACTGATTTGAAAAAAATTGATATATCTATAGTTATCATTATTAGCTTAATTGAAATAAACCAATATTTTAATATCTTGATCAGATTATTCAGATATAAATACCATCAATAAGGCATATCATTATCATAACTTAGGTAACATTATGTTAAATCATTAAAGGGACAGATTCGCCATCCGTTGCGTAGTCTCAGAAACAGGAAGTTTTTAGCTAAGCTAATCAGTTTGTCTGTGGTAAATTACCTCTCTTTCCTTAAATCGAATACATTATCCTATTCACCATTCATAATATCTTATCAATCAATTCATTTTCCTTGTCATTATTTTCCCCAAAATCTTTTATCCATTATCATGCTATAGTGGATTATGACCTTTGTATCTAAACGCGCATGAAATATGCAATTTTCTTTTTAATAGTAGCATTATTCTTCAGTTTTAGCAGCAAAAAAAATAATTATTACAATTTCTATAGATATCAATGTTCCTGTTAGAACCATTATTCGTCTTAAATTTTTAGATTTTAGATATGGATTTTCATTTCATATATTCCACTTTTATTATATTATTCAAACTAACTGCACAAACAATACTCTCTCACTTGAGGTTAAGTCTGAATGCCTGTGTCTGTGCTTTTATATAATTACTTTACGCAATGTTAAAACCCAAAATTCCAAAAATTCATGTGTTAAAATGACGACTCGTCTTTAATTGAGACTCTGCCTTATACAGAAATGCTATACATGTATACAGAAGTTTGAGGTATTTTTGAAGAAATTATGCATTTTTCATACATTTCAAGCAGTTCTGAAGACTATTGACTTATATTCAAATCCCAAATCAACCCCTGAAAACAGGAAATTTGTCCCATTAATTTACTACTGCAAGTAATATAACTCAAGTCACTTTTAAACTATGTCAATTGTATCATAAAATAAGACAAATCAATACAATGGTGTAATTATTTCAACCTTATCTACAGTTAGTATTATACCATTTATGTAACACTAGCAAGATAAGCTTCCTATTTAGTATAACTGAACAAGACATATATATTAGTAAGATAAGATAACAAGATGTAGATATATAATAGACATTCCATCTACTCTCTCTACCAACATTTATTAAATAACCATGTTAACAAAACTTTATCTTTCTATTAGGGTCTCCCCCTTTCGTACTTGTTGATTGATTGCATTAACCCCTTCCCCCTATTTTTCTGGATTTTCATTTTCATGTTGGAGATTATATTCTTAATAAAAATAACACAAATTTTACTCTAGATTACAAGGGTCTCATTACTCACACAAAACTTAAAATGACTCCCAGGTTGAAAACCCCTGGTGTATAAAGTATCTAGAATAAATTTTAGAAATGAGACTGCCAATTGATCTATGAAAGTATATGAATAAATATTGATAGCTAATGATGACTGTTGAGCTCTCTCATGATATCAAAATGTGAAGATTATGCAAAAATAAATATTTCATTGGCAATATTCAAATATCACTTTCAATTTGAGACATTAAACACTCATCTACATGCTATTGAAAAAAAACACAACAAAACATCAATTCTCAAAATCTATTTGACAATAAAAAGTTAATACAATTCATGTTATTTTTAACAATTAAACTGCCTTTTAAGATATCAGGAAATTAATAGTTTCTAAACTACCTCTAGAAAGCAAACCTACCAATGAGCCAAAAGAAAAACTTGAGTTTTCTTCTGTTTCATTGTATGGTGAGCGGCTTTAATGACTTGCTATTTCAGCATCTGCATCTACTGTCAGATCTACTATCAAATAGTGACCTGGTAGCCAAATTGCAGTAGCTGCATCACTTGTTGAAAAATCAACTGAGCGGCCCTGCTTGCTACTCATGGGTAGTGAAAGAACATTAGGATTACCGGTATATTGATTGATAACTACAGATATATTATAGTACAGAGATTAGTTTCATTGAATAATGATGGTATGACTGAATTTACTGAACTAAAAATTTTCTACTTGGCAAGCAATCAGGCATAATGGCTTTTTTTACATTTGATCCCAAAAATTAACTGAACAAAACACTATAATAGAGTAGGCCTATATACCTTGCATTTAGAGGTTTTTTCAATTAAGATATTGGGTTACAATTTTGATATTTGGATCCAGCGCGTTCCTGAGATATACACTCCAACATATATTAAACTCTGTTTTATAATAGAGATTCTATGTGTCTAGGGAGAATAAGTTTCTTATTGATGGTTGTATAGCATAAAGAGTGTTATATTTTTCAAACGTATTACATAATATAGGCCTAAGGAGGTACAATAGCATTTAAGATTTTAAACAGATATAAAAAGAAAATTGAAAGTGTGGTAATCAGAAACATTCATAATTTATTAAGTTTGGATATGAAAAACCAAATTCCTGGCATATTGATGTTTGAAAATTAGCCTATAGAAGATAAATGTTTCTTCCTAGTGCAATTAATGAATTTTGTAACACATGGATAAAGATAAAATATATATCGTTCCAAATACATGTTTTAACCCTTGCATCTTTGACTTTGGAGGTGCGGAAAAGACCTATAAGAATTTTTTCTGACCGTACTCCTGCCGACAACTGTCAAGAGAGATAGATGTGTCGGACTTATAGTAATAAATAATGAGTGTACGCGGAGTAGCCTATTGATGGTTATGCTGTTATTGCAGTGCCTATCCAAAGTGCAATGTCATCTACTATCCTGCATATGCATATCTTACCTTTCCTTTAATCAGCACTTCAAAAGAGATGCAGTTTCATTAATATAAATGCAATAGTTACTTTCTAGATCTCTACATATTTGTGTTGGGCAGAACCAGAGGATTTCCTGACTATTCATCGAAGGATTCCCCAACAATCAGCGCTAACTGTAAATAATGTAAGTGATAAGGTAGGACTACTCCAACAGTTTGTAGAAATTGGACTACAGTTAAATCATTTATCCTCATGTTCTATAATATATCCATGTTTATCCTACAAACTTTCAGTCAACCATTAAAACAACTAACAAAATATCTTGACTGATGTTCATGAAAGTAAACACCACTTCAAAATATAGTCGCAATACAGGACAATCAAGCAGCTCAATAAATAATCAATATTCATATCTCAATAATATTTATTACCAGTAACATCTTATTTTATAAATAATTATAAATATGTACATAGTAGAATCTACAAGTACTTTAGTAGTTAATTATCTAATAGAAACTTTTGCATCAAACAATTACTGGTTTATGAAATATTTTTATATTAATTTCATAATTTATAATATTCCTTTTTATAAATGCATTTTACACTAATAGAATAGCATCATAACATCATAATTTTGCCAATAAACTAATTAGCTAAATGTTTGGAACTGCATGCCAATAAATTATTCACAGTAAAGAGGATTGCTGCATCCATGAAAAATTTCACATATCCCATTGAATGAAATGTGGTTATAAAGTTTTATACATTGAATTATTATTAAATCCTCTTTGTTAGTGTCGATCATCATAAACTAAACTAAATAGTAACTAATATTATTGTTGATCCATTTGTTCTGGACAATCATCACAGTCTTTGGCACTGGCACCACTAGGTTTCACTTTAAATTCTTTTATATTAGTTAATATTTGATTTATCAAGTCTTTTAGATAAGTCTCAGATCTTTTATCCTCTAATAAAGATTTTAATCGTTCTGGTCCATGTTCATTTTCTAACAATTCACAATATTTCTCAGCTGAAAAAAAAATATGGCAATAGATCAGAATGTAGAGAAAGCTTTTGAAATAATTTGTATTTTTCTATAAATAGTCAGGTTTATATCACCATATTTCATACAAGTGACCATCTAGATTTTTTTGATTAATTCTTAATATACGAAGCCCATATTCAAATGAAATAAATTGATTGGTCTAAAAGATTTAGTATAGAGTACTTACTAACAAAAAGATATAAAGAGTTAATACTTACGATACACATTAGTGAGATTACACAGAGCCCAGATAGTCCAATGTTGTACTGGTGGTGTGTCGAATTTATCTAATAATCGTAACAAAGGTTCAAATGATCTGAAACAAAAGGAAAACATATTAAATACAGGCAGTGTTTTCTGTCCTGGGGTCTTATCTCTTAACACTGTTTCTTGGATATACTAGGGCTAAGATTGTTTTGAGAATATGTGGCCAGGATTATGTGTTACTCTTCTTGGCTCACATACAGAGAGGGATCCAAATGTTGATATAAAGTGGTATTATTGATAGTTTACAGATTGTATGATTGATTAATCATTCCTTGATAATATTACCTAACCCACTTTTATATCCTATCAGTATTGGCTAAATTTTCTATTTAGTGGCTTACTTAATGGTTAACAATTTTACAATCAAGTGACATTTCAACTAATGGCTAGAGTTAAATGTTAAGTAAATTCAATGGCTTGACTCCCTCTCTATCAATGACATTGTTTATACCTATAATTAATATTTCGTTTTGAAGTAATATCCCATCTATTTATAGCTGCTGTCAATCTACACAATACCAAATCTCGTTGTGTTTCTGTTATAGTCCAGGCTTCAACACCATCTGAAGCTATATGAGCTAAGACACCCGCAGCATTATAACTTACTTCAATACCATCACTTGTTGATTCCAATAAATCACTATAATATAGTTTATTACTTATAAATGAACAATAAACTCATATCATGTCATACAAATTATTATTTAGAAAGATAGAACTCGTAGTGAAATGGATAACTTCTCTAAAAAATAAAAGACATTGTACTTTGGTAGACATTGTTGCCAATGATTGCAAGATTTGTAAATTACTACATATCACCAATTTAATATTAAAGTACTTATATGTTAAATTTCTTATACATTATACATACCTAAATACACTGATATATTTTGATACCATTAATAGTGGTCGTAATTCTTTGACTTCAGCAATATTACCCTGTAATAAAAAGCAAAAAGTTCTTTGCCAATGGCATTCGTAACATATCAGTTGACTGTTACTGATGCCTAAGAATGTTGAAGAACATCAGGAAATTGGGAATTAACTTATTAGATCAATCATTCCAAAATATCTGATGGCTTATTTTTACTTTGTTTCACATTTTCATGGTGATAGTGACAAGAATGGTCTCCTCATGTATATACATATATAATCATATAATATTATCATAATGTGTATTTATAGTATCACTGTAAATGTGAAAATTATCAATAAACCAGTCATTTCTCGTCACAGATAACAAATTAACTTACCATCAGTCCCATCATATTTCTTAATAATTCAGCTCGATCTTTAAATAACTGTCAATATAAATAAATAAATACTACTCTAATACTATTATAAGTATGTATATTTTAAGTATCATTTCACAAAGTAATTGCCTGTGTCAGGATTTATTTAAGAGTTCACAGTTAAATTTTCAGTCCATACATGCCAAATAAAATTAGTGAAAATTTCAGATTATCATAAAATTCAATTACTTTGGTATCAACCTACAAACACTTAAGAATTTTGTAAATGCATTGTGTATAGTTGAGTATAAGATCACACCTAGCATGGTCTAACACTTAAATAATTCACCTCTAAACATTGTAAAAACAAATCCATTCCACCACAATCGATGAATTTTCTACAATTCTGAGCTGTTTCATCTGAAAATAAAACATTCAACATGATAAACATATCCTCAGATTAGAAGGTATTCAAATGACAAGACTAACAATTATCATAAATAGTTATGTAGGAGTAGCTGTGGAGTTCTCTAAAAATTTGGAAAGGAAAGTCTGCTGAAAACCAGAAAAAGTGCTAATGAAATCAGTAAACTGACTGAAATTATCAATCTATACCTGTAATATTCCACATGGAACTCCAGGCTACTTCCATCATATCATCACATTCTTTTTCTTCTATTTTCTTTTTAATTATCTTTAACATTGTCTACAATTATTATCAAGAATAAATCTAAAATTATCAATACAATACACCATATTATAACAAACATCTTAATAAAATAAAGTTGGCCAGTAACAGTAGGAAAACTTGATAAATTTATTGATACCTAATTGAATAGAAATGGATTGCTATATGTACTATATAGAACACTTTGATTTAATTGCTGTTTGTTGAATTTTCTATCTGAATCATGTAGCTTGATGTACAGCTGGTAAAGTAAACTATTTGTAATTAATGATATATTTTTGACAGTATGCAAACAAGTGAAAATAAAGCAAATTTACCTCAATGGCTCCTAATTCTCCAATCAAAGCTTTCTGCTTGTGTTTAACTTGGCAAGCTAAACAATTGATAAGGTATATACCAATACGGTGCATAAAATCATCTTGTATATCACTTTTGAGCATGTTTAATAATACTGTAGAGAGTCGAGCACAATAATATACCTTCAAAACAATAATCATACAGGACAAAGGCAAGGAAGAAATAACAATGTCAATGGCTGGCATTCAGTTTTTAAAACAAGAAATTTATATTTTATTGTCAACAATTATCAAAATTAGATAATAAATTTGTTTCTGATGATCTCCATGGTAATCTAACAAGGTTTCTACCACAATCCTGTTAAATTTAACTAATCAAAACGTGCCTTGTAGGATTTCTTGATAACAATGATGAATTGTGGGATACCGAAAGCTATTTTCGAGTTTGCTATCCCAAGATGAATCATTGACAATAGATGGACCAACACAGAACCATTTGCAGATCAATCTATGAACTGCGCAAGCTTCCTCTGCTGATTCACAATAATCTTGCTAATGTTTTGAAAACAAATGAAACATTTGAACTTACAACTTCTTGTGAAACATTAAAATAACATAATGTTAGACACCCATTCCTCATCATCTAAAAAATAAATAAAATGTCAACCATTATTATATTGACAATGCTGTATTGTAACCTTAAATTTCAATTAAATGTCAGAATATAATTTTATGAAATTTTATTGTACATTACATTTCACCAAGGTAGAGCACTCTCCAGGAGTAGTATATCATAAAATTGTGTTCCATTAATGAAAGTGATTTCAGGATGGTTAATGATTCAAATTTCAATGATCAAAATTCTACTGAATTGAAATCATGTAATGTATGTTAAATCTTCAAAACCTATTCTCAAAATTGCATCTGTACTTCATATCTTGTTGCAAGACAATTTATAATATCATATATTTATGAAAATTCCCCTACCGTTCTTTCATTTGAGAAATTTTCCATTCCATCTAACACAAGATCTATAAACCTTCTGTCATAAAACAAGACATGAAAATCAAAATAAGACTTGCAATGTCATAGGTATTTTATGTATAATGTACATATCATTTTCAGACCAATTTACTCTAGACATGAGCTTCATAGATAAAAGTTAATATAGAGTGTATTTTATGATTTATTTTCCTTATTTTATCTATTTTATTATCTAAGATATCAGTGAGTGTTTCAAAATCTAAGAATGAAAATAAGTAATATATAGTCTACCTTTTCTGTTGTTGTGTTAAGTTATCTTTCTGTTCACCTTTAGCTATATAAAATAATGATGCACTGAAATATATATATTATATACATAATGATGGTAATGCAAATCAATTCAAAACTCAAATCTGGTGTTTTCTGTAATGTCGAAAGAGTGAACACAGTGTCATGACAATTTGACTATGTACAATATCTACATTATCCTCACTAAAATTAATGGCTATCTTTTCTAATATTCTATACATCAAAACATGTCCTCTGAATTACAATGAACTATATGTGAGCAGACGGATTAAAAATGAATGGATTCAAAATCCATTCATATTAAAAACTTCAAATTGTCTTACCTGCCTGTTATCTGGACATGTTTATCATGAGGATGGCGCTGCATTCCATTAAGTAATCCCTATAAAAATAATAACAAAAAATAATTCTTTTCTTTTCATCCAATCCTTGCCTCATCTTATGACCAAATTATTTAGTATATTATTCTGTAGATATATTTGTCTAATGAATTGACAAATTAAGCTTGTTATAACACATACATTTAAAAAAATTTCAAGACAGTAATATTGTCATTTGAAAGTTAAAGTTGCTCTTGACAAAATCCTCTTCATTCCAATTTAGTGAAGATTTTGTCAATATGCATGCAAACTGCAAAGTAAAAGAGTAATCAAACCTCAAGAGCTCGACATTGGTTAACAATTTCACCACCTTGGAATCGATGAAATAACATATTGAAGGCAGTATATAACATGAGAGATCTATCTTGGTAAACTTCAACTGCTAATAGCACTTGTTCTTCATTGGCATTACCAGTAATCTACAATACACACCATATTTATCTTACATTGATTGGTGGTTAATGAGGTAAGAAAAGATGCAGTGAATTGATATAATTTTGACTTGATATTCTAAAAAGATCTAAACTGAGATATCCAATAGCACACAACTTTTTTTGGAATGAAATGTTATTTTTTCACACAAGAATTGTTTGATGTATTCCACGTTGTTTCCTATATTGATATATTCATAACTCTTATATAGACAATTAAAACTGTAAACAGGCTATAGTTCTATTACCTTATTAGCTGGTATATTGTCCCTGAAACATGGATCATGTGCACAGTTCACCAAACCCAGAAATTCCAGTTGTCTGCCCTTTAAACCTGGTATACCTGACTCTACTTCTTCTCTAGAATATAGAATACATGTAGTAATACAAACTATATCAACACTGTAAGTACCTATTTGATACAATGCAGGAGAGTCAGATTTTAATCCTGTTAGACACATCATTAGCTGAAATTGAGCTCTAAAGGCTGATGGAAATATATTTCTTTCAGCTTTGATATTTTCAAGATACATATCTAGGCTCACATATATAATCACCCATGACAAGCCTACTGCAATTGTTTTTTCATCTTTTAATTAGTGTGGTGAACCTCAATTTATTTGTTTATATTGTTTGACTCACACAATATCTTAAACGCATGACAAAATCCATCATCTGCATTTCTTTTCGAACTACTATATCAAACTTACAGTTCATATCTCAGTTTTGCCGATGTTGGTTCTAGTCTGTGAGAAACAGGTTTGATTTTCTCACCATCTGCCAGATTAGTACCTGATATATCTAATGATATTAGGTTTGGTAAATTTGTGACTAGGGTAGTCAATGTTCTAGTAGGTTCATTATATTTCAGTGGTACTATAATATCATTACTAACTGATATATCTAAATGTCTATAGATAAAAGAGGAAAGGATTAAAAAATATAATGGTACATTAAAACGATAAATTTTATAAATAAAGCATGGATTATAGGCTAAATAAATTCAAACCATTAATTAACATAGCATAATGTCAGAATGAAGATAAAACTGTAAATCTCGAATGAAGAAAAAACATCAGAAGAAAGGGGTAAAGACTTGAAGGGCTAAGACTATCTGCTGTCCAAATAAAATAAAGATTTGTGGAATAGTATACATGTGGTAGACATAGCTTCAATTGAACAGAACAATTATAGGTAAACAGTTGAATGTTTTAGAGACCCATCACTTTCTGTGCAAATCAATTTCCTCATTACACATAAGTAGGCTCAATATCATTTCACAAACAAGAAATATAGAGATTTGCATTTTCAATTTTTCATTCTATTGACAAAAAATCATCAACAGTGACAAAACTTACCTTAATGTTTTTATCTTGGTAATAAAGTCCACGAAATATTTATTTTCTGTACGTATCACATTATTCAATATCAAAGACACAAGATGAGAAAGGTTTTTCAACTGTCTCACATTATCATAACTTAATATACAGTCTGATAAATCTAAACATGTTAGTTGCGTCATCTGAGATAAAACATGTTTAAAATCAAATTCAAGTATATTCCGACAGTCCACATCATGAATAGACAGTGTACGTAGGTTTGTACATTCTAATACAGTTTCCACCTGCGCATTTGTGTTAGAATCACTTTCATACAGTTCATCACTTTGTAAGATGGTGCAGCCTTCAATCTTGAGAGATTTCAGTGTGTGTTTCAAATGGTTGATAGTATGAAATGAATTATGTGTTAAACTATGACAATTAGTTAATTCTAATTCCACAATAGGCTGATTAACCAAAGTTTTTAACTGATCATCATTGATCTTAGAATCTCTCAAACATAATGTACTAATCTGTGTTCTTTCTCTGTTTGAAAATATGGGTAGTTTATCTAGATAGCCTTCATATTTTGTACTTATTAATGTTTTTACCAGTTTATCACATAATGATTTGGGCAAAATAATAGATGGATGCAGAATAAACTCTTCCTTGTCCACATCTTTGTATGCTAATGTTTCAATATTCTGAATGCAAAAATTAACACAAATATCTTCCAGTTTGTCTGGACTATTCATTGGCCAACCCCCTGTCATTTTTACCATTTATTCCAACCAACAATGTCTGGAATAAAAACATTAAGAGTTGTAAAAAATAGCAAAAAGTTCATTTGTAATGAAACAAAAGTATATAATAATAAATATTATTGTACCCAATAATATTAGCTATGTGGTCTTGTCTTGTCTTGTACTTTCTGAGAGTTGAGTTAAGTTAGGAAACCAAGACTCAGAAAAAGAGAAAGGCACTCTAAATAAATAATTAGCAAACAATGACCGGCCTGTGCTGAGTAGGGAAGGCTCTAATAATAATAGCCTCATGATTCATAAGCCACTGTCACTGTCAATAAGCAAGTGCTTTTGTCAAAATTGGGTCTAAAAAAAATAAAACATTTGTTGTAGCTTTGGACTAGGCTTAGTTTCCAAAAATTCTGATTCGTTCATTGTATAAGTTTAAGACTAAGTAAGACACAAGAAACAAGGTCAGCAATGGAACTAAAATACAGTGGTGTAACCTATTTTCGTGGATATAAGGATTCAACACCGAATTTCGTCAAAGTTAAAAAAACTAAATTTTTTTTTTATGTCTTAGATGTTTACTCAGATATTCTACAAAATAATTAAAATTGGTTTGTTTCGATTTTCTTTATGAATTCTTCACTTTGACCCATATTTCATGAGCAACCAACTCGGCAACAGCGGCAGAATGCGTCACCTATTTTCGTGTACAATGTTTGATCTATAAATAAGTCTAGAAAAACACGTTGTATGGATACCGTGTGGTATAATTAACTTCTCTTAGTATTTATCTTTAATATCAATTCATTATACCTAGTGACAATTCCTTCAAAGAACCACGATTTAAAAAATAAATAGGGACTGACAAAATAAGATACGTAGCGTGATTTATTGCTAAAAGTCACTGAAACAACGTCATAAGAATATGTCGCTCATTTAAATTATTAATCCTTTCCGGAAATCCACGAATAATAGGTTTCCACGAAATTAGGTTACTCGACTGTACTGACTCTGTCAGTCTGTGACTGAATACGCAATTATGCAAATGTTTTTCAAGACCCGCCAATACCATGTAAGTCTTCCTGTGCCTATGCATAGAACTGTGGCCTATGTGCTGCCATCTTGTATGTTAGGAGATATCTTTGTTTTTGAAGAAGGCAAAATAAACAGAGAACACAATATATTCCAGGAATTTTAAATTCACTTACCTTAGCGGTTCTTTTTTGTCGGTAAAACAATAGATGATTGACTGACATATGAACTTTTAAAGTCCAAATCCAAGACATTTAACATTTTAGATAAATGAATGATCCCAATAGACCTTGACCTTGAGGAATATCAGGATCATTGCGTCCAATCCACTGGGTCCACTCACTGCAAGATCATTTTTCTGATATTTTTTTACTTATTGTAGTCATAACATATTGTATGCGTAAAAGCAAAGAACTGTATACAGTTTTATGGTAAATGGTAGAAATCTGGCTTTGCCTTTACCGTTTCTTATCAGACCACAGTTACCAAGAGTTACATCCTAGTAAAATATACCGGACGACTTGTTGGTTGGACCAAAGACAACTCGACCAACTTTTGCCACTTGGACCACTTTTTATAAGCTCACTTGAAATGTGGGGCTATATTGGCGTCACCCATGTATGTCTTAGAAGGCACAATTCTTGACTGATATTGAGTAAATGTATTATGTGTTTGTTTTAGGCTAGGGAGAAAAATCAAAAAGTTGCTGATCTTGTTGAAAACATGTTAAAAATTGGCTTGTAAACACACTTAAAGGGAAAATTTTCAATGAATTTTGAGGAAACCTGGTGAAACTATTTTATTTATTATCACCCAAGGATTAGGATGATGAACACTATTTAAAATGAAAGAAATCGAAAATACTTATTTGTGTTCTTAATTTTTGGCTTGTTAACAGTAGTAGTAGGCCTAAGCTAGTTTATTTTCACCTAATTATGAACCCTATTGAAAATAAGAAAAATCTAAAAATATTTGATATGAGGTAATGCAGTTGTTCTTGAAATACGTTCAGTTTTAGCTCGTAAACATGCTTGAAGGGGTAAATCATGAAAGATTTTGACAAAACTTGACGTAAGTTTTTATTATCATCTGAGGATGAGCTCTGTCATTGAATGTCAGGAAAAAGACGTTACGTTGTTTTTTAGATCAAAAAAACTTTTTGCTCAATTTTGTGAAACTATACACCAAAGTCTAGAGAAATGTGTCCCTGGAAATTTTAACAAAAAATATCCAGTCAAAAGTTTTTAATGCCAGAACTATTTGAAAAGTTTACGTAAAGCCTACTTTTAAAGTTCGTTAGGCTTTTTGGAAGCTGGTGGAAGACTACTGTAGGGATTAAAGGGGCATTCCTCTTTATTTGTAAAACATTTATGTTATCAAAAGCATCGCAAATTATACCTGAAAATATTTCTAAAGTATGCTATTTATATCTATGTATCAACTTGATGAAACTGAATTTGTTTTAAAAGGGTTCATTGAAAACAGAGAGTACTAATATTTGGTTAAACAGTTTGACCTGGATCTGGTGTTTGGCTAAATAATGACTCATATTATTTGTTGAAACCTTCAGAATATGTAATTTTTGTTTACTAAAGAAGGCCAATATGAGATGTGTTTGTTGTTTTTTTCAGGAAATCTGAAATGTGCATATTGTTTCTATATGTAAATAATGAATACCAACCAGATGAGTTTCAACTAATATTAGTAAATAATAGAGATGAAACATGGGACAGACCAACAAAACTTGCTGATTTCTGGTCCACTAACAAAGACTGTATTTCAGGTTCGAGTTGATACTATTTTTCTTGAGTGGGTTATGTTTCCCCTACATAGTATTATACAAGTTTACTAATTTATCAGTGTAATATGTTTTGCAAAAGTAAGCTACTGGATGCATGTGTATTAACTAAGTTTGTTGTGTGAGATTTTTACAACAAATCAAGTGTCAACCCAACTGTTATGCTTTCCTGTATATTTTGTTTCATAAATGCAAGGCCTCATTGTAGAAAAGCTATAAACTTTGTAATTTATATCATACTTGTGCAAACTACAAGTTGTTTTGACTTTTCATATAGAATCTAACTCCTGTCTGGAAAACATCTCACTTTGTTTTTGCTTGATTGGGCTAATGCAGACAGTCAAAGCCACATTGTGAAGGAAATTTGATCTGGACATTTTAAGATTTCTAACCGTCAAGGGATGTTGAATACATGTTTCTTTGGCATACACAGTCTGAGTTCACTGTCCCATTCAAACCACTACCTTGATCTATGCCTTTTGTATGTTAACTTCTTTGAAAGATCTATTTAAAGGTATAAATTTGGCGATTCTGGACATCAGAGCAGCAACAACATAATTGGAGATCAATTAAACACATGATTTGAATATCAAATATTGTCTTAGGTTTAGATAATGAGCCTGGTAAAGAAGGTGGAACCTGGTTAGGTCTAAATAAAAATGGTCGAATAGGAATCTTGTTAAATATACCAAATAATTTTCGTGAAAATATGAAAGGGAGAGGCAAGTATATGAACATTAAATGTACTATTACATTACTGCAGTATAAGTGAGAATATTTCAAACCCACTCACTCCACTATTTCAGTTATGGTTTTTAATTGCACCACTCCAATTTTTGTCAGATGGTTTTTGTGGTTCCTCTAATTATACAAATGGTTATCCATATATGAAGTCACTATCTTAAAAGCTGCACATAACATCTAAGAGCATTAAAATCATAAAAAACACTTTTTAATTACATTCCCAAAAAACATCTGTCTGAAAATTAGAAAGGTGTATAATTGATGCAATAATACATGATACATGCAAAACATTTAGAAAACCTCTTTAGTTTCCTTCAAGTGAGACTCAGATGGAACATGTGACTTGCAGAATCTGAGAGCTAAAGGATATTAGTGTCTGGTACACATAAGACTAAATATCTTAATTTTTTATAGGATACCTTGTAAGTAATTATTTAACATCACAAGACAGTCCGAAGTCCTTCATTAAAAATATTGAAGACATGAAATCAGACTACAATGGATTTCATCTAGCTTTACTACATAAAAGGTATTTTCAAAATAATTTATCGATGCAAGATTGTTATATTCAATTGAATTTGCAAATGACATCTAAAAAATTTGACGGCTTGAAAATGTATGTAAAGTAAAGGCATACAGATAGCTGAAATTAGATTCTGGTTGAGGCAGATGTTTGTGTACTAGTTCCTGTAGTGGTTTTGTTAAAAATATTCAATTTCAACATGAAATGGCTGTTTTTAGCAATGGTAAATTTGATATGGAATATTTAACAAATGGAAGTGGAAATGCTCAGTTATCTAAAATTAATAAAGGTAAGAATCATAATCTTTTAATTTCTTAATGGAAACTATTTTATACTCAACCTACTGATAATAATTTTAGATAAATTGTTTTCATATTGATTTATGTGTTGAATTATGATGCCTATCCATATTTGTGATGATTGGAAAGACAAAGTTTGTTATAGCTTGACCATGTGAAGATGTACCCAACTATGCAACTAATCAAATGGATATGGCACACTCAAAATTGACCCTTCTATTTTTTTCTGAACCTATTTTTCTGAAACCTGTTCCAAATTGTTTTATTAATATAAAGTAAAATAACTAACTATGGATTCCAAACTAGGAAAACCAATCACATAATGTTTGTTTTAAATGATTAAATGGCACTACGGATTTCCGGTTTATCGGCAACCGGATAAACACGGCTCCACTGTATTAATACATTAATATAGTTTAAGGCACAACATTATTATGGAACACTACTTCTCTTGTTTACAATGTTATTATTTAGAATATTTTAGTTTTAATCAATCTTATCAGGTCAGTATACATGTATTGGTAATAGTTATTATGATAAACCATGGAAAAAGATTATAGATGGCAGAGAACCATTCCAAAATATCATTCACAAATATTCAAATCATAAAGACAAATTGATAGATGAATTATTGAACTTTATGTTTGATAAAAAACAGTAAGTACAAGAGTTTATTTTGGAGTTAATTTTCAACTCTTTAATAACATGTGTAGGCCTACTAATACTAAGTTTAGTCAGTTATTGGAATCCTTTTACTTTTGGAAATCGAAAGAAAGTTAGATAATGTGCAATAACTCTGAAACTGTTTATCTGATATTACCAATTTCGAAATTGACTGAAATCTCATCAGTTTTATTAAGATCGGATAAAAATTGTTGCTTTTATCATGCATACAAGCCAAATTTAGGGCGTTTTTACTACAAGGGCAATAACTCTGAAACCATTCATCTTATTATTACCATGTTGCCGTATAAAAAAGGATCAGGATTCAGTTCCATATAAAGTGATCATATAAGTTTATTTTGATGTAGATTCAAAAAATGTTATTAGATTGAAAGATTATTTGGTGAAATGATGTTTAGGAATTTTTACCCAACCACAACCATGTGTCCACAAAATTCTATCAAGAACCCTTTAATTCTGTGGTTTTTGTCATTGATTGGTCTTATATTTTTTAAAGGTATTATCCAGATGATGTTTTATATAATCAAACTAAAAATATTTATGCAAGAGATTATATAGAACAATTAGCTTGTAGATATGTATGGTTGCCAAAATATAAATATGGCACAAGGTAACCTTTTTTTTTTTATATATAACACCATGCATTGCAATGAGGGAAGTGACTCAAGGATCTTCAGTCTTAAGTGAACAAATAGTTATATTTTTTTTTATCTCAGGATCAGTGTCAAAAGAAAATTGGAGGACAATGCTCTTGATTGATGATTTAGGCATGTTTTGTTTATTTCAGGACAACCACTATTGTATTAATTGATGGTCAGGGATGTTGTGATTACATTGAAAAAACTCTTGTTACTCCAGTTGATGTTGAAAATCCACAATTTACTACTAAGTCATTCCATTTTCAACTCTCAAATACAATTTAAGATGTTATCTTTGAGTTTTATATGCCTTATATCGATTGAAGATGACAAGGCTTCATGTTGTGCATCTAAACAATATCAAGCTATTAAGAACTTTGCATTTCTTTGACAGTAAGAATGTTATGTAATTGTTTTGAATTTAATGTTGTATTTTTTTTACTATATACATGTACTAGTTATAATTTATGAATGCTATAATTTATGAATGTTATGGATTACTTATGTGATTGTGTCATATGAAAATATATTGATAAACTATCAATAATCTTTAATGTGTGTGCTGTTCATCTTTACTCATACATTGAAGCATGATGTTAAAAGTATCATTGGGTATAACGATGTCAAAGTCACCTATGTTTACTCTGACAGTAGACAATTACTGAAAGGAGTGCAAGATTGAAAGTCAGTTCTGTTACCAGTGTTCTAATCAGTGTTGGATATCAATTTTTGGTTGAATTGCAGTTTTCTAAAAGTATATAAATTGTTCTGATAATTGATGTAATGAGCATGCCAGTATGCAGGCCACTACACTGTACAGATTCTACAGTACATTTGAAGCTCCATCTAACCTTGCAATAATGTATGAAATTGTTGATATTGTCTCCTGAATTTCTGAAATGATAGGATCTCTTATTACATGTAAGCCTAAGCAAGCCCATCAAAATGTCTTTGACCAGAGAAGCCAATATATTCAATAAAAATGTTTATAGGGGAAACAATATAAGGAAAATTAACTTTCGAACGTGAAAGTAAAAAATTAAAGACATTTTATCATGTGAATAATTTATACAATATTTTTCTCTAAACAACTTGCTATTTAATATTTCTCTTTCCATTTTTATCTTTCATTAAATCATCAAAAGTGCTTAAGCAAAGGCCACCCTATTAGGTCGTGGTGGTTCAACGTATTCTCCTACATCTTTGAAGTGACCAAATAATCTGTAAGGATCTAAATCAAATAAAGCTCTATCTTCTATATTAGTCAGTTGAACTCCAAGATCTTCTAACGTGGGACAACCAGTTGTAGTATCTGTCAGATGTTGAACTTCTAACATATCTGTGGTAATTTTTTTACCGTACAAGTTATTTTCATGCAATAACTGGACTTTCAGCTTATAAAGGATGTGCATATCAGTAATAGTGATATGTCTATGTTGAACCACATCTAGATAGAACTTGACTATATCGTATAAATAGTAACGATAGGGGCCAATAGCTTCAAATGTTTTACCATTGACATCAGGATCATAAATAGCTTGTATAACTCCTTCAGCTACATCACCAGCATATACAGGCTGCTTGATAGTTTCTTTTCCCTTCTTCCATAGAGGTAGAGTATTACCAAATTTTCTATACTGATTTATAAAAGAATATGCAAATTTGTCTTCAGGACCTGTCATAACAGCTGGTCTAAAAATAACAGCTTCAGGAAATTCTTCTTGAACAGCCAATTCACCTCTATATTTACTTGCTAGATAATCAGAACCTCCAGGTAAAAATATTTCTTGAGGTTTTGCAGAAGAATTGAGAGCAGAAAAATGAATAAACTTTTCCACTCCACATTCTTTAGCAATCCTTGCAATATCTCTAGCGCCTTGAACATGTACATCATCATATTTAAAACATTTGGTTTCAAAATCAGACCCAATCAAATTGATAACAACATTAGAATATTTCATTGACTTGTATAATGTTTCTTCATTTTGTAAATGAAATGGGTTGAATAGGACTTGTCCAAGGTCACCACACACTGCAAATTTATCAACATCCCATGTAGCTCCTCTGTATGGTATAATTATTTGAGATCCAACCCTGCCTAATTTTGATACAATAATCCGGCCTAACTGACCAGTTGATCCAAAAACAGTGGCAACAATACCACTGAAGGATGATCTTCCACCACGCCCTCTCTTTAAAGATGTCAAGCTACTAGTGTCTCTTTTCTGGGATGTAATTTGACTACCAAATACTCTTGGAGCTTGATGAGCAACCTTTAAGCTGCTGTTGACAGCTTTATTAAAATTCATCATGGATGCCATCTTGACATAGGTCAACTCTTCCTCATCTAAAAGCACATCCTGAAATTATAAATTGAATAATCTTTACTGGTACAAAATAACAGAAGATTGAAACAATAAAATTTACATACTAATTATTCTCATACCACAGTGATATCTGAATTACAGGATCAAAATGAGGTTTTCTAAATTTTAAGGGCCACTGATAGTATAAATGTGGATCACTTCAATTTTCATTTTGACGTCTTTGGCTCATGCAATTCCACAAAATATAAGTGATTGATGACATCACTAATCGCAAAATATATTCTATCACTTAAGTCCCTTTGCAATTTGTGACGTCATCAACCACCTAGTTTAAGTGGTTTTGCAGGAACAACAGACAAAATTGGAATGGTGTAAATTGATGCTATCAGTGTCGCTGATATCCATAAAGAATTTTACAATTTTTTGTTAAATTTTAAATTATAGAATTTTCAAAAGTTTAGCTTTTGTCCAAGAATGTGTATAGAAACATGAGATTTAATAACTTACATCTTCTAAACATCTTCACAATGTCAAGGTATTATGTACTGCTCATATAACTTGACTGCTAAAACCATGTTTCTTGTATCAAGAAAGTTTGTATGTGCATCAATTTGATTGGATTGTACATTAGCAAATACAGCCAATCAGAAACACTATTGCTTATTGTTTACAGTCTTTCTGTGGAGGGCTCAGATTAGCTGTATCTGTTGCATACAATCAAATCAAATTGTTACCATCCATGATATAAGAAAGTAGATTACAGTCAAGGCATAAAATGAAGTTAGAAAATAGTTTGACATTTTGATTAACCACTACATGGGGAAACCACTACATGCCATATACACCAGCTTTACATATCCAGCAGACAAACAGAGCAAAATATCATTTCAGTAATTCAGATAATAAGTAAACAAACATGACATAATGAAATACGGAGTAGGCACAAAATGATGCATAGCCAGAAATACCAGGACAGACAAAAGATCTATAACTTAGATAGCTAAGGTTCAATATGAAAGTGTTCATTAGACTATGAATTGAGGACTGAAGAAAACATTTGCTGTCACCTTTATTTTACCTTCTTCTCCCTAAACCAACCGGAAGTTGCACAATTCGACCGTGAGTCTAATCGACACTTTTTATACCTTTATTAGGGAAATATTTATGCCCCTATGACTAAAGGTACATTTTATGCGGAAATACACATAAGCGATCATTTCACACAAAATGAGCCCACCTTTACAACAGACTGTCCACAAGTAGGCCTTATTGTGAAAATTTAATTCTTGATGATCAGGCCTTGTGAGACAAATCGACATGTGCCAAATCGTAATGGGAGAAGTTATTTTTCAAGTGGTGAAATGTCTAAATAATTCAATTCTTAAAAATTGAAATAACAGCTTTAACATTACTTACTACTCTAATATCAACCCAGAAGAATCTGTATAATTCTTAACCGAGCCTTTGATTTTCAGTAATGATATTAAAACTACACTATTACTAGTGTACAAAGTACTTCTCAATGTATAAAATCACGTGACACGTCAAGGAAAAGCCGCCATATTTTATTACATTTATGACTATTTACTAATATCGGTGACATTTTCACCATTATGATATTCTAGATCAGTTTACTTCCTCAAATCCAAAGAAAATCGAACAGAATAGAATTAACCTTTTACTGCATTCAGCTGGCAATTGGTAGGCCTTGATTTTGACCGTTCTGTCGCTTGCAGTCGGTTCGGCTTGATTCAGACCGGAGTGAACGAGCTGTCATCCAACAACATTATCATCCAGAAGTTACCAAAAACAGGTCATCATTGAACGCTCAAGAATCAAAATGCCAGTTCGGAAAGCAGGTAGGCCTTCAGCATTTCTTACCCAGTTATGTAAGTGTAGATCTAGTCGAAATCAAATCTGAGAATTTTATAATGATGATGGGGCATGGCAAATTTTGCATAATATTATGCTATAGCTTAAAAGATTAACCCTTCTAACACTTTCACCAGTAGCCTAGCAGCCACTGTACTGTACCCTACCTGCTACTAGTTGATGTCACATTATGTTATGGTCATATGCTCTATGTTAAAGGAATGTGACTTTTTTTGTTATTTCCACTCCTGTCTTCATGAAGGGTTAACGCCCCCAAACCCCTGTACAAGTTCTCTACCTAATAGTCCACACCTCTTTGTAATCTTAGAAGTTTCCACCCCTTTTCTAAGGGGTTTCCTCTACTAATTAAAAAAAAATGTTAATCTCTGATGGATAAACAGATTCTTAGGTAATGAATCAGGAAGCTATTAATGGCATAAATTGCTTTGATATTCTTAATCATATATTAAGTTATCTATAAGTAATGATAACATATCAATATCCTGAAAGATTATTCTTGATCCATTCATATTTAACTTTATTCAACATGCCTGATTTGTGTTCAAATTGCAATGTGATTGTTAGATCACAGGCAACAAGCCTATACAAATTTTGGTTAGGTGCCAAGTTGACTATAACACTCCTGAGTTATGAGGTTTATGAGGCTACTGTTTATGTATGCATAGAATTATGCGTTTTATTAAGTCTTGGATTCTTCAAAAGTATAATGTAAGCTTATTCTCCATATTTCTTTAAGCAGGTTCTAAAATCAAATTTTGTCTCATTTATCTATTGTAGATGCACATCGAGCTTTGGAACTGCTAGAAGATTATCACACAAGACTTAACAAGTCACAAGATAAACCGTTGAAGAATGCAATCGAAAGAGTGATTCGAATTTTTAAAAGTAAATTGTTTCAAGCTTTGTTAGGTAATTATTGAATTTTTTTTCTGAGGGATTAGTCATTGACAGAATGATGTGTAACAAGATGACAAATATACACTAAAGATATTTGTCACATGGTTTCTATTTTGTAATGTAGTGTCCAGAGAAAATCTTGATTACTTGGTGTAATTTAATATGTCCAAAGCTGTAAAATTTAAAGTAACAGGTTTGTCATTTCGGTAGTTGATTTGGGTCGTGAATATATTTTAATAATCTTCAGAACTACTAGATATTTACCTTAATCGCTCAAACTTCATTACAAAGTTATATCCAGTTTTTTTCTTGAAAGAAATCGATTTTATTGCACTTCGACTAGTGCTCATTCTTGGTGATGTCCTTCCTGATCATTAACATTTGCCAATTGGTCGCCAATTCTTGATTGGTGAGGTAATATTTCTAATGAATTACCATTACTTATAGAGAGTCTGCATAGCTAATTAAAATTACTTGTAACTAATCAAATAACGAGTTTGCTCTGTTTTCTATTTACATAAACTGATTGTAGATTCGTAATAAAATTAATGAATAATTTATATACTTAAATATACATAAATTGATTACTTTACTTTAGATTGAAAAAAAAAAAACCCTAATTATCGCGGTATCATCATATTACATTTTTTACTTCACAAAGTTCATCTTGCTTCGTTACGATAAGGCCTATCAAACTTTGGTGAGTTAGTAAAATGAGGACTGCTTTTGATGTAGCGGCATATTGAATTTTTCCATTTTCTGTAAGGAAATTTTAGGTGATTTTATACATCTAAAGTATTGAGTAGGAAAACAACTTTAATCATGAATTTTATGAGCAGTATAAAGTTAAAGTTGATATTTAGACCTGGATACAGAGATCTGGATTGGATTTCAGAAAAACATACAGCTAATGCATAGCCAGGAGACCAATTTGAATTCTCTTTCTGAAGCACGTAATGATCAGTGGTATTGAACTTTTCATCTGAAAGATATTGTCTAAATTTTCTGTTTGAAATCATTAGTAATGATGCCTTTGATAAAGAATAAGCAGTTTTTATCAACAAAAAAACACTGCTGAAAGTATTTATTTGTAGATACTTCTATATCACATTCACGGCTACAATAAACAGTGTTTGAAAATGCCTTCTATTCAATTTCAATCTAATAATTTCTCCAGTGAATCACATTTTCTTGAGACTTACCTTCATTTTAACTGGACTATAAATCATTCTGTCAGTATTTCATCTCAACTGGTCAAATCGATCCAACCGTTTGTTTTTTTTTTGTTGAAAATTTGAGATATATATTCTGTCGATTGACGATTGACGTTTCGTTTGAAAACATTCAAGGCCTATATAAAAAGAAATGCAGATAGTCAATAACCCGTGTAAAATATCATGACAAAATTGAGGTCTAGAAATAGTTAAAGAAATTGACGAGATAAGTCATAACGATTTGCCATTTACTTCCGATGTGATCTACTTGGTTCCCTTGGTTTACTGTCTTAGTTATTCCCTAGTTGCATCATTTGTTTTAGAAGCTTACGCTTGATATTTTGATATGTGATTTGAATTATTTAATGAAGAAAATTAGCATCTTCAAAGAAAATGCAAAAATAAACACAAAAATTTTAGCTATTTTATTACACCTAAACCATAAATCTTTTTTTAATTTTTGATATTTGGCATTCATAAGCACTGGCTGTTTATGATTATATTTTTGTGTGTCAGGGGAAGAAGAATTAATTCACATAATAGAAATACTACTATGTAGAAATTACTAGCACTATTTTTGGAATAAATGAAAATGTTCATTATTAGTAGCAACAACATTCTTAAAGATGGGTTTCCTTATATTTTTAGTGTCAAATTAAGCAAACTATTTGATTAATTGGTGTTTCTAATGAATTATCATGTATTCTTAATCATATCATTATGTTCTTATTGCATATAATTAAGATTTTTAACCAATCATAAATGTCCATGTATGTACAAACTGGATAAACAAAAAAAGACTTACTGATCTTCTGTGATCAGTCATTGAAATTCTGCTGGCAATTCTCTTCTATTTTAGCTAATTAGGAATTTATTATGGAAATGTGAGACAAACTAGTATTTTTCCAAGTCATTAGAACACCTCTACTTTATATTCATATAAGTATTAGCATTTTCATTTTCAAAAATAAAAATAAGGGAACTCATCTTTGATATATTCTTGTAAGACATTTGAGCACGTTACCTGTATATGTAATGAAACATTGTGTTTAAAGAAATTAATAGAAGCCTATATCCGTTGTTGTTTTTAACATTCTTAATATGTTCGACCATTAGACCTAAAATTTGTGAATGTATTTTTTTTGTGTCTGAACAAAATTGAATTATGTAAGAGTTTTTAAAAAACTATTTACGACTGTTAGTTATGTTTTTTATTCTATCGTTACTAGTTAGAAGGTTCTAGTCTGATGATGAGTTGGAAGATATTGATCTCAAGTTCTCTTCAACTCTAGTATTAATCAGAGGGATCACATTGACCCACTATATACAATAATCACTTTATATTGTACTCTTACATGATTTAGCTAACTGATATTATTCTGTAAATGTGTTAGATAATTCTCTACTTTACGCACATATATTAAGTTATTTCCACTAATGGAACTAGTTGTCTGAATATTTGATTAATTAACAGTAGATCTCAGTTTTCCGCTACCTGTATCACTTTTTCCAATAGAAATCCAACAATGAGATTAATGTCTACTTAGTCTAACTTTAATCTACCGCACTGGTATTTGAAAACATATTGGTGTGTTTAATAACATCTTTGTTAGAGGGAGTAATGGTTTTAAGGATTTAGATTAATAATAACAATAACTTTATTAGACGCCCAGTTTCAGGAGGCAATCTTCCCTGGAATCTTTCTACTAAATAGGACAGACGCCATTCATTTGACCAATCGCACCTTTGTCTCAGAAACCGAAATTGTTTAGCTAAGCTAATCAGTAATAGTGTTCACTGCTCACAGTCGAAATTTTAGCCTTCAAACCCATTTGTGTCCAGAATTATCTGAGTTTGAAAGTTAAAAAGACAAAGTCTTTTCTTGAAACTCTATCATATATAGAAATATAAAGTGAAATCCTTGCATGATGTATTTTTGAAGGAATTTCCGTACATTTCAAATCAACTCTGCTGGCTCAGTGAGTTAGATGCCTACTTGCTAACCATGGTTCAATCCAGATGGAAGATGAAACCTTTGGAATTTTCAACCAGGTTTCTCCCTGTCAGAGGGGCTGACTTTGATAAGCATCTATTTGTTTGCATTGAAAAATATTGTGTGCGCAATAAAGATCCCTCAACCAGTTGGGAATAAAAAAAAAAGTACTCTAATTTAATGCTCTTGTCCTTGGAAAATTTTACTAGTTACACCTTGCATGACATTTGCCTGTCCTCATTAGGACAAATATATGCTGAAAAATGATACATAGTACACAACATTTCCATTTATTTTCTAGCTCTCAACTGTTTGTGTCAAAAAAATAGGTACTGAGTATTTCTAATGAAAACATTTCTGGATGTTAGATTGATACTAAAATTTATCCATTAATGTACTTCAAATTACTGTTAAGCCATAGTCATTAACCGTATATAGAAATTTTGTTATTAAAATTCTCTTGGCAATGTATAACCTATTCCGCGCTTATCTCTCATTCAAATATTCCATTACCAAACATAGGTTCAAGATTGAATTCATGTAGAAACTATCTCTGTGGAATAAGTTGATTTTCTCTTTCTAATTCTCTAGTAGTACCGGGTATTTGGGTTATTTTAGTTATTTCCATCTTGTAAAATATAATTTGTATTAGGAAATTGTTAGAATATGTGGAAGATGTAAAACTTGTTTATGGCGGTTAGTTTGATTGGAAGGAAAGCAAGTTGAAAATAGTTAGAATTAATGATAAAGCTAATCATGGTCAATATTGATTTCTTTCACTTAAATTTACACATCTCAGCAAACCTCAAGATTTCATTCTCTTGGCTTTTAGTTGTCCAGCTATAACTTCCACCATTATACTGATCAGTGTAATACAGTGAAGAAAGCTGTAGGGTAAATTTTACAGCTTGCAGGCCAATAATGATGAGTCTACTCAACGATTGTGTCTAAACCACTAATTGTTTTTCTTTCATCCAGACAATCTTGATTCGATTGTGAAATGATAATACTATTAGATATAAGAGGATAGATAAGGGGAAAAAAATCTCATTGTTGTTGAGACAGCTTGTAATAAATGAATCTCATCTTTCTTAGTCTTCTTTTTCTGGTTTTCTTTCACATTTTTACTTCGATTTTTGTCTTAAATGGTGACAAAAATCCGAAAATAAAAAAAAAATATAGACAAATTCATCAGTTGCCCCATCTTCACAATGTTAAGCTATTATGTCTTCATCTCATACCTTGTCTGCAGTGGCCTATTTTTTTGTTTCACAGTCACTGATTTGTTTGGATTGTTCATGTGCAATTATTTTTATTAAAAAAGTCATTCTGTAGAGGGCTCAGAATGGCTGTATTTCGTTACCCTACAATCAAATTAAATTGCTGTATTCACAAAGTGTCGTGAACAAGAAAGTGAACCATTGCAGTCAAGGTATAAGATGAAGACATGATACCTTGACCATTATGAAGATGCTGTGGCCCTGGTTGAGATTTTCCTTTCTTGCTGGTTGGCAATTTTTTACCTTGTAACTGACATACGTAGTTGGTATGATTTACCTATCAAGACCTTTTTTGAAATCCAGTGGTTTTAGTAATAAAGAAAGAAGTTTTTTCCAATACTCCATTAAACAGTTGCAATTACAATGTAAGAAGAAAGTCTAATAATGCTATCACTAACAGTTTGACGTATTTCAATAAAGCTTTGTTAAATGATCGGTTTAAATGATCGGTTTAACAGGAAATTGATGTTCTAGGTAACCCACCAAACAATCTTTCATTTGAAAGAAGTTTGATTCTTTAAAGATGTCTGCGACCTGTTGCAAAGTTTAACTTCTGTTGGTCTGGCTGGATTAGTCAGAAATGACAGTTATGTCTTAATAGGTTGATATTTGATATCCTGGATGTCTTTCAAATGAAACATGTTATAGAAAGATTCCAAGTTGAATCAAACTTCCAAGACATACTGCATTTTGACTTTTCCAGTCTTCCTCGAAACAACCTATTTTGTGCAATAAACTTACTATCAAAAGAAACTTGACATAACTACAAATGAGCACTGCATTGGTGTAGAAAAGAGACTAACATGCATTTACCCTTTTGTATCCTTATCTTAGAAGATTCATACTGTCTGTTAGGGTAGCAAATAAATTTTTGACTCCATATTTTTCAGATATTCAAGAGTTTTATGAATGTACATTGTTAGATGATTCCAAAAGTAATCAAGAGAAAACATTGGAGACATTGAGAGTTGCCAGTAAATGGGAACATGAATTGCCAATAACCAATAATCTTCCAAAAATGGATGTAAGTAGAGTTACATCTAGATTGTTTCAGATCAGGTTTTGTTTCAAAGATTGTAGAACTGCTTGATTGTATACAAATTATTGTCTCAAACAACAAGCATCACTAGACTGACCTTTATGCCACTTTTAAAGCTCTTCACTGCCGAAGACACAATATTTTAAAATTCTTGACTTATATTTTGAAGAGTATTATAGTCGTTATCTTTTCAAATTGGTAAAAATGTTTTATTGGAATACATGTTCTCCTTTATCACTTATCAGGAAGTCAGTATATAGTATATATAATTAATTTGTCATCTGTTTCAGTTGAATTCTCCAATAGAAGAGGATTTACCTCCACCACCACCACCATTAGATTCAGATGCCGCTAAACCACGAGATCCCAGCCCCCCTCCTCCACCCCCAATATCAGAGAAAACTCACCCATTAAACATTCAATCAAGAGGGGCTAGTGCTGTAGCACCAAGATATGTTGAAGAAGAGGAAGAAAGTGAAGGATATGATAGAGAACTACCACCAGCTGTAAGTTTTTAATACTGTTGTACTGCATACATTACAATCTTAGCTTATATCAAGAATTTCATTTCATTTGATACAGTATATGAAAATGGTATCTTAACATATCTTTTACCAGAAAGTCTTATATTAGAACAGATTAACTTTGAAACACTTTAAGACACATACTGTTACATGATAAACACTGGTACATTTATACAAACCTTATACAAGATCAACTTGATCATCTCATTAACACATCCGTACTTTGAGACCAGTACTCATATGTGATAATCATGTACATTGAGACCAGTACTCATGTGTGTCAAACAATTGTACACCTAGACAAATACTTATAGATAGTAAACAATGGTACATCTAGACAAATACCCATTAAATAGTAAACAATTGTACATCTAGACAAATACTCATAGATAATAAACAATTGTACATCTAGACAAATACTTATAGATAGTAAACAATGGTACATCTAGACAAATACCCATTAAATAGTAAACAATTGTACATCTAGACAATTACTCATAGATAATGAACAATTGTACATCTAGACAAATACTTATAGATAATAAACAATTATACATCTAGACAAATACTCATAGATAATAAACATTTGTACATCTATACAAATACTCAGAGATAATAAACAATTGTACATCTAGACAATTACTCATAATTAACAATTGTACATCTAGACAAATACTCATAGATAGTAAACAATGGTACATCTAGACAAATACCCATTAAATAGTAAACAATTGTACATCTAGACAATTACTCATGGATTATAAACAATTGTACATCTAGACACATACTCATAGATGCTATACAATTGTACATCTAGACAAATACTCATAGATAGTAAGCAATTGTACATCTAGACAAATACTCATAGATAATATACAATTGTACATCTAGACAAATACTCATAGATAGTAAACAATTGTACATCTAGACAAATACTCATAGATCATAAACCATTGTACATCTAGACAAACCTTAAACAATTGTACATCTAGACAAATATTCATGGATAGTAAACAATTGTAATCTAGACAAATAACCACATATATTAAACAATTGTACATCTAGACAAATACTCATAGATAATAAACAATTGTACATCTAGACAAATACTCATAGATAATAAACAATTGTACATCTAGACAAATACCTACAAATATTAAACAATTGTACATCTAGACAAATACTCATAGATAGTAAACAATTGTACATCTAGACAAATACTTATAGATAATAAACAATTGTACATCTAGACAAATAACCACATATATTAAACAATTGTACATCTAGACAATTACTCATAGATAATAAACAATTGTACATCTAGACAAATACTCATAGATAATAAACAATTGTACATCTAGACAAATACTTATAGATAATAAACAATTGTACATCTAGACAAATAACCACATATATTAAACAATTGTACATCTAGACAAATACCCATAGATAATAAACAATTGTAATCTAGACAAATAACCACATATATTAAACAATTGTACATCTAGACAAATACTCATAGATAATAAACAATTGTACATCTAGACAAATACTCATAGATAATAAACAATTGTACATCTAGACAAATACCTACAAATATTAAACAATTGTACATCTAGACAAATACTCATAGATAGTAAACAATTGTACATCTAGACAAATACTCATAGATAATAAACAATTGTACATCTAGACAAATACTCATAGATAATAAACAATTGTACATCTAGACAAATACACATAGATAATAAACAATTGTACATCTAGACAATTACTCATAATTAACAATTGTACATCTAGACAAATACCCATAGATAATAAACAATTGTACATCTAGACAAATACTCATAGATAATAAACAATTGTACATCTAGACAAATACTTATAGATTATAAACAATTGTACATTTAGACAATTACCCATAGATAATAAACAATTGTACATCTAGACAAATACTTATAGATTATAAGCAATTGTACATCTAGACAATTACTCATGGATTATAAACAATTGTACATCTAGACACATAGAAACAATTGTACATCTAGACAAATACTCATGGATTATAAACTCATATACATTGAGATACATATTATTTATTTTTTTCTAATTGAGAGAAACATATCGATAATATAATGCATCTATCATGGGATGAAAATATCTCTGACTTGAGACACCATTTTATGTGTCAAACCTTTATGACAATACATTTACACTCAGTTTAAGAGTTAAACATGTACATTGCCTGAGACAATGAAAACTTCAATAATGAGGTGTTAACTCCCATCTCCATTACAATCGAAGGGAGATAACTACTGAAATGACAAGACAACAAAAGTTGTCATTTCTTCATGTAGTCTCTGGTGTCTCATTAAGAAATACTGAATTTTGTTATTTAATGTTGTACTGGTACTAGCGAAGAACAATCTGCTAAAGTTTGTGGTCATATAGACTATGACTTAATTTGTTTTATACTTTGACGAATTAAAAAAGAATCGAAATCTCATCATATTGGTAACAAGTTATTTTTAAATTAAATAAAGAATTTTAATGCATTAGATGCATTAATGCATAGATTAAACACATTATAGATTTTGTATTGTCTCTTTCTGAACTAGAACAATATTATAGATTTTTCATCCTTGCTTCTTTAATTCTCAAGTAGTCATTTCTGTTCTTTCTTGCTCGTCATGTGTTTCTATATATAGACATAACATCCTATATTGAAAAATTATTGTCCTATTAGTGTTGGCTGTTTCTATATTATTTTTGAAAATGAAAAGTATTGATTTTGTCTTGTATAGCTGTAGGTTAAATTTTGTTTGAAGTGAAAGATAAAAGATGTATGGTAGGGAGTGGTATAATGTTGTAATACAGATTAAGCCTACTTATTAAAATCTTGTTAAAACGGTTTTTTTTAACTCTTTGTGTTAGTTCTCACTATTGTAAATACTAATTTGCTTGAATACTAATTGCAATGGTCAAATCACAATTAAGTCTGGAATTTTTTTCTGGAATATCAGGAACCTCAAGTATCAAACACAATGGTTGACCAAGAAGCACCTAGGCTCACAAGCTCGAAATACCCTTATCCTTTACATCCAAATGTTGAAGTTCAATTCAGACGCCTGTATTTCATAACTTTACATATTGTGCTGGTTCAGATGGTGGCGCCTCAGATCTTTTATTTTGATTCTACTTGATCCAAATTTGTTATGAGATGTCGCATAGAATACCAGATTATTATTTTAGATGCTAAGTAGATGCTAATAGCTATTGTACATTTAACAATTTTGACCCAGGTGTCTAGATCTTTTATGAAATGGAGTATATTTCTGTATAATGTCAGACTGGTATTTGAATGTCTATTCTAGATGATGTGTGGGAAGACTGAGAGATGCAAGAAATTGTATGAATCAATTTAAAAGACCAACCCACTCATCCAGTAAAACTTGTCTGTCCTACTATCATTTACCTTTCGAGGCGAAGGCATTAACTATAAAAGATTCGCACATTTTGCATCTTAAGATTATTTGAAAAAACTCTTTCCATTAATATATTCATTTGATAAATGTTTTGTAAGTAGTACAATATATTTCAAAAGTAATAAATTTCAGGACAGCCGTTGATTTACAGCATTGATTGTAGTGGATTTTGATATTTTTACTGATGGTCTCGTATCATACAATTGTACATTCAGTTAAGGAAAAATTTATATAGTTGGCTGTTTATGTATTAAAATGGCAAGATAATATTATAAATAGATTACAGTATAATCTGTCTGATTTGTCCCATTTAGGTAAATGTTCCATTCACTAGCATCATTCACCATGTTAAATCATTTTAAAGGAGCTTATTTGATATTACATATGATGTTTAAAATGAAAGACATGTAGGTCTCTTTTTATACAAGATATATCATGTGAGATATGTGGGATTCAACTAGGGCTTCTACATCCCATGATCATATCAAGAACCTTTATTTCATTGTATGAAAACTTTACTATTTACTGTTGTTTTTTTTATACAATCAAACAGATGGATATATAATAGAGAAAAATGTGTAGGTCTGTTTTTTAGAGTTCCTAGAATTTTAAGATATCAGGATGGTTTCTGTGTGCTACAGAATGCGCTTGTTAGGGATCCTTTGGAAGTTAGCAATTCAAGTAAGGGATATTTCTACATCATTGCATACTGCATGTGGTTAAACAACTGTCTTCCCTCAAAAGTGATCTTTCTTTGTTATTCAGGTTGACCCATCTGTAAATGGGTATAATAAACTTCCAAAAGGAAATTGAATGAATTTGAAGATGCTTTCATTTGTAAGATGGTGAAATTGTCTTGGTTATTTTCAATCAGATGATAGTTTATTGTTCTGTACCAGTAAGTTATTTATGTGAGGTACAAACACTTAATTTTCTT